AGCAATGGGCGCCGCATTGTCACGACCCATAAGGTCGTACTTTGTCGTGCAATCTAAGTTATGTACACGGTACAGAAAGTGATACTAACGTTTTTTTCCGTGTCCATAGTTCCCACACGGTCCGGCGCAGTGTTCCGAAAACAGCGCCATGTGCAGCGCGACTGCACTTACTGAAGATTTTGTTAGCGTCTTTTTCTTGCTTTTCTTATCTCTTCTAGGAGGTTTGAGTTTTGGAATTTCTGATGATTCTTATCCTTTTCGGAATGTTTGAGTTTTTTAAACTTTGGCTAGGTGCGGTATCCAGGTTAGAAAGTATAAAATTCCAAAAAACGCTTTTCCTACATCAGTTTAGGCCGCGCTTCGAGTTGCCATTCCAGCGCCGATCCAGCGTCGTGCTGGCGCCGTGCCGGAATTGTACTGGCGGGGTCGACCAGTCAGTACGTGCATCCACCTGATCCCGTCACGGCGTCGGCACGTGGGCAGCTCTTAACGCTGCGTTGGCGGGAAAATGTGGCGGAATGTGCTACTATTCTTAAACTCACCATGCACTTTTGTTCCAATCAGTGAAATAGCTGTCCCTTGCATATAATTGGAAAATAGTCACAATTCAACAAAGTGCAAGCAATTTTTTTTATGAGATGTGATTGTCCTTTGACTTCACGGCACAAGGCCAATAATGACTGCCCTTCACAGCACAATTACCCTTGAAAAATTGCCGCGAATCGGCCACGTGTGTTTTTCCGTGCAGGGGTGGACAGAGCCATTGTTTTCATCAAAAAAGTTAGTCTTTGGTAGAACTGTCATCAAAGTCGGCGTTCATTGTTGCTGTCAGTCTTATCGAACTTCCTATCGATTGTAAATTAGTGGCAAATGACACGCTGCTTCTCTTTTTCTTTGCATCATGCATAACTTGAGAGTAATGAAGGCGGAAAGATGGATTGATGAAGTAGAGAACTTGTTGACAGAGTTAGCTATTGATTTCTTATGGTTGTGGTCTCATATGACAACAGTTTGGATTGCTCTAGTACCAAGTCATTGAAAAATATTCGAAGATGGTATATTGCTTGAACATTCTCTGAATAGCTTCTCCCTTTTTTTTCTTTTTCGTGCATTTTTCTTTTAGCATTTTTTTGCGGAGTAGCCTCCACGATAACATGAGAAATGTGGTTACTAGTTCTGCTATTTTTCGAATTTTTATGAATTCTTATGTCTATGAAAAAACCATGAATTATTCAAAAAGTTTGATTTTGAATGTCGAAGCACCATAGAACTCCTTCTAGTATTGATTCTGAGAAAAAGTTGTTTGAAGTTCAGGTTCCGATTGCATTTTCTCAGACTATAATTTTCTCGGCCGTTTCCTGTCAATAATGGCATCTGACTCAATGTCTGTTGAAGATGATAGTGTGCAGCCCCATGAATTGCTCCTATAATTGCTAGCTTATTGAAACAATCTGACATGCGCTGCAATTTTGCAGCTGCAGCTTTCACCCTTTCTGAAAAATCTATGTACTTCTCAGCAGCACATTTCTTGCTATCTTCGCATCCTAGGCTCAATAGAACCGCTTATTTGAATAATGTTCATTCATGTTGAAAATGCTGTTTAGAAGCCTTCCAAATTTACTTATTGATCAATATCCGGATCCTAAACGCTTTCGGAACCTTCTAAAAGCTGTCCCTCTATTAAAATATTTTTTGAAAAACGTTTGTATTTGAAAGTCGAGGAATGTGCCACACTGTGTGCAAAATGAAGGACACACGCTGGTATGGTAATCGCTAATTGTAGAGCATCTGATAAAGCTTGTCCTTACCTCACAAGATTACCTAACCATCCAAGTGTTTTATCTCAAAAAATCTCTAGCAAATTCGCTATCACATTTGCTAAAATCATACGATTTTAATTACCTTAATTTCACGCGTATAAGGCGCGATTTTTTTCTCCAAAATCGACCAGCCCAGACAAGCCAAAGGACTGTACAACCCCTCGCCATTAACGTTGTCCTTTGGCTTGTGTTCTTCAGACCTTATAATGTGTTGTATATTGCTTGAGAGAATCGTGCGATGTAAGGATTTCTTTCCGGAATACAGTGAAGCGGCTGAGCGGCTCGCTTGAAAATTCGAAAAAGTGCGCCTTATACGCATGAAATTAGGGTAACTTTTTGATCAGTATACATCAGTGACGGTCGCAGGATTTCCGACCGGGTGAGGGGGGAGACAAGAAATTTATGAATTAAGGTGCGCGGTGTTAGCTATGCACTACGAAGAAAGTGTGGTATGCTTCCTAAAATTTTTGCGGTCCTACAATCCCAAGATTCTAGAAGAAATTTTACAAGGCTGAATTGAATATTTAGAAAAATTTAAACGTTTCAGTTATCTAATGGTATAAACAAGTTACTAGCACAATCTTACAACCCATGTTAGTGAAATTTTGCCATCGTTATACTCCCCTTCGGTCCGCACTGGTGTACATTTCATTTTCTTCGCATCAGTACAGTTGAAGAATGAATCCAATTATCCGAACGACTGGCCGCAACACATCATTATTATGAATGAATTCCTCACCAATTGGATCGGTTTTCTAAGAATAGGTATCCAGCGGTGCTTTGCAAAGAAATCGTCGATTTCCAAGTATTCGATAGTCCCTTTTTATCATTGATAAAAAGGGGCTATCGAATTTTTGGAAATATGGGAGCCTGCACAAGCTCTACGACGTTGTGTAAGCTCTACCAGTTTTTCTTAGCAACTATAGTCGTGCTCTTGCACGTTTTGGGTGTCACTTCAGCGTAGTTTTGTAGATCTCAATGGCTGTACATGAACAAAAAAGGCTCGGAACAGCTGCAACTATTGCTGTGTTAGTTTTGCACGCTACACAGAGTGCACAGCTCGAATGAGACGCCCATCTCGGTCACTCGATACATCTTCGGCAGCTTTACACGTGCCCTGCGCTCGTCCGGTGGTCTTGTCAGGTGTCGCTCGTGATTTGCGCATCTGTCGCTCGAAACGCTGTGAACTTCACGGACAACTCTATCCTACCGATCATATCTGATATTCGTCCTCAACGGCTGGAACCAGTATGGTATCGGACTCGACCTCATCGAATACGACTACGACGAATTCGCGTCCGAAAGCGCCACATATTCGAAAACAGCGATTCGTTTATAAGCCGAGGAGGCTCAGATTTCCTAGGGACGAAGTGGTACGTTTGAATGTTTTAAAGCTGGGTGTTAAACGTTCCTGTGTTGGTGTGGTACTTCGTAATGAGCTCTACAGGGCAATTCCATCTTCGGTAAGGGTGTGGCGGCACTATTGAAACGAGTAGAGGGCTGATTATCGCCGAAAGGAGGGTCGTGCGCGGTCTGCAACAAATACGCTCTTGTACATGCAAGAGTTGCGCATTTGTTGCAGATGTCCGCGCGGAACCCCTTTCGGCGACACCTAATCCTCTACTTTAATTGTTGAAAATATGGCATAAATATAGGCGGGTATCCATTGCATGAAACAAATTGTGTGCTATAGAGTGGCACGTTCGTCAGGCCACAAATCGATATATCGATTGATCGGGCCAGCTATGGGTTACGGTAGCTTGTGCATGTATAGGAAAAATTGTGGAGTTTCGTTCTCAAACAGCTATCCTATCTTGTACCGATCTTTTGTTTGTATGTGACCCAACCCTATTTGTATTCTGTTAGACTACCAAGCGTTTTCTATATCCTATTGAAGCCCATAGTTTCATCTCTTATCATCAAACTGATAAGCTGCTCGTGCTCCACCTTATCTGCAGCAGTGTCAAGAGATTTGAGGCGTCGTTTCTCCCACATCCTTATACATTTTTGTGTGATTGTTCCCGAACTTCGTATCAACCAGGTCGAGACCAGGTCGTCTGACTCAGATTGGCTCTACTTTCCATAAACATATCAATCAAAAAGCTCAAGTGTGTCACAATTGCGCTTGCGATTGGAACGCAATCGTATATTTCCTTGTTTGAAAATTTTTTGTTTTGAATAAACCAAAATGCTATGTATATTTGATCTGTTTTTAATTCTTCCAACTTTACGTTTTCATAATATCAGGCTGTAACTCAAAATATATGCGCTTCTTCCACTTCATATACTTTATTTCCTACAGCTTATACTTTGGACAACTTAGTAGGGATTGATGTTTGGTTTGCATAAAGCTAGGCTCATAGTGAGCATGGTAAATCCCACTTTTCCATTGATAATCAGTAATCATTTCAGTCATAGGGTTAAAAGTCCTGAGAATATTTTGTTTACTGTGGAGGTGCACTTCAGTTTTCTTTCGTAAATTGTTTTTGCGTAGGAACGATTTTTTGTTTGTAGGGCCCACGAGGCAATTAACACATTGACGACTATGCAGATTTTTAGTTGTCTGCCGTCTGGGTCCAATGCCGTCCACGGACCAGCCCACAGTTCTCAACTATAATTACGCATAATGCCATCTACAGTACACCTACAGTAAATCTGAAAGGCTGACAAAGAAAGTAGAGGTCATCACTAGATTCAGTGCAAAAGAGAGCTCATGAATTAAGTTTATCGCGAGATAGCAGTCATTTTGATAGAATTCAAACCTTGACACACATGGTGTGTCAAGCGGTCCCACGCGGCAGTCATTGCTTGACACACCATGTGTGTCAAGCTGTCGTTAATGTGTTAAAGGAGTTAGCACTTATTTTATTGCACCCTTACCACAGTCTAAGTGACTGACTGAGACAGTTGGCGCCACGAGAAAGGATTTAAGTTTGCGCCACGAGAAAGGAGTTAATAATCTTGCCCGTCCATCTGCCGAACAGTTTTCTATCAGCAAAACACTTGGCGAACTTTGCTCGTTTCGCTCCTTGAGACCTTTGTTTTCTCATCAAAATTGCTTTCAACATTTTATTCTTCAGACTAAGAGCTAGTCGTAAATCCTCCATTGAAATTGTTTTTGCCTTCTGTCGCCAACTGTCCAGTGTCAATGGGGCGTGTAATTCATTGCATCCATTGTAGGTCGGCGAGAAGATAATCGATATAAGACCGAACGGCAGCATGGAGAAAGAAGGAGAGCAACAAGAAGGTATTAGTCATGTTTTTCTAAACAATTTGAGATATGAATTATCGACTCGATGTTTTCTAGTGCACATCACGGAAACATCTGAAACTGCAGGAGGTGGAGGCGACAGCTTTCCGATAACTTTGATGGTAGGTCCTAGCTCATTTTCCAGATGTCCTATTTTTCTTTTGATTTTCATCTGATAAACTATGTCCGCCAGTAGTATCAAGATAAATTCTGAAGTTTGACCTTATTTTTCCGTCGAGCCCTCTTACCTTCCATCTCATGTTTGTACTTTTTTTTGAATTGTGTTTCAACAACTGCGCGATTCCCTACTCGGTGACGCACCCAAACTCTTCAGAGGCTTTTTGTTGCTAACTGTTGCTAAATCAAAGAAATACTTACATTTTTCAGGAATCATTCTCCAATGAACAGCCGGATTCTAGCACAGCCGCACAAGTGAGCATCATAAATATTATCACTTTCGTGTACCAAACTACTTATCCCCTTTTCTATTTTTTATTTGCGAATTTATCATTTATGCGATTTACTTTGAATCACCTTATTTTTCATGTAAATTCAACTTTAAAAGTTTCAAAATTGTTTCTAGCTCATTCGTATGCATACGTATTTGAATGTTCAGTTTTTTTTTTATTTTTAACGCATTTATAAGTTTGTGCATATGTATTTCTTTATACTTTTGGCGTCCTTCCTAAAATCTTGTGACATTACGCGCTCAAGGTTTTTGGAAATTCGATTACATTAGATCATTATCACTCATTTCATTTTCGTATCCTGTCTTACTTGTGATCCTGTCTTATACACTGAGTCCTCTGCCCTCTTGTTGAAGTCACGCGACGTGAGCAACTTCAAGGTTATTGAGTTGACCGAAGGATTGGTTTTATTAGAGCCTTTGGATTTGTGGAGGCCATAAAAGAAGATCGACTGTCTCGGCGATGTTTGCCGCCAATTTATTACACTCATCCAATTCTTTCTCCCGGCCTATTCTTGTCCTAGGAGTTTGCATAGTACTATATATTGCTTTTTAAGTTTTGGCAAATCTTTAATGGGTGCATTCTCTAACATTTCTCTTCGCATGATTCATTTTTTAGGAAGAGAACTTATCGATAATGGGTGCATTCTCTAACATTTCTCTTCGCATGATTCATTTTTTAGGAAGAGAACTTATCGAACGAAGGAAGTATTCCGATAGAAAAAATACCGAGCATGGATGTGACACCAGTTGAAACCGAGGATAACAACCATAGTGAGGTGCGTTGATCTTTCCAAGTAATTTACATACTTTTTGGTAAAATCTTTCTTCGTTACGTTGATGAATAGTTCATCAGGGCATTTTTTTCTTTGCAACTCATGAACTTTTCCTTTTTGCCTCTTCATGATATTCTAGAGCTGATTCAACTTTAGACCTATCTCATTGTAGATTTGTGATGTCATTCTTTGCTCACATTCTTTCTTCTCATTCGGAACTTCCCAGCCACAGAGGAACTTCCCAGCCACAAATACAATTATTTTTAGTCTGCACCGTGTAGCTCTTTTGCGTGTACGAGACATTGTTTGTTACTCTTTACTGCATACAACGTCGTTCAAGCGTTGCATCTGTATATGTGTTTGATTTTCAACATCACGTTCCCTATACAACCGCTACGTATCAATCACTTTGTATAGCAACTGCTGCGAGAGTCAAACAGTATGCGAAGTCATGTGCTGCTAAACATCAGCAATTTGACGTAGGCTAATTGTTTTTCCCTGTCGGATACTGTGGAGAGCATCATGATATTGAAAACTTTGTTTTATTCTCTAAGCTGCAAGTGATCTGCGTATATACTTTTTGGAAGGAGTAGAGATGACGGAAAAGTGGAACTTGTTGCATTTGGAGAAATGGTTACCATTTATTCAGCATCTGCTCGATGGAATTGTAGGGATGTTTGAGTTTGTAAAATTTTTCCATAGGTTTGAAGCTGGGTGAAAAGCCTGTATCATCCATTTTGTTATCTTTTGGACCACTTGGAGAAAAACTATAAATTTGTTTTGAAAAACCATAAACACTGTATTAGAGAAGACTTCGGTTGAATTAGCGTGAGGCGTACCATCTTTTTGTCTGTCCTTTGTTTTCGCGCTCTCCGGGAATCAGATGTCAAAAACTATTTTAGGTGGAATCTGCTCAGAAAATCTCATTGCGGAAAAGTATCGATTCTGATCCCGGAGACTTTGTTAAGGTTGGACCAAGTCTAAGACTTCTTCTACCAGAGATCTCTCTTCAGCTCTAGAGCTTGAGATTTCGTTTTCTTTTCCTCGGCACGGCAAAATGTACTACTTTCCTTTCCAGATTGAAACACCTGATAATGGGAACTCTGCTGCTGAGGTCAAGGTAAACGGGTTTTGAACATATTCCCGATTTCAGTCTATAGATGTTGACTCCATTGTACATATTGCAGTCAGCCACCCCACCAACACCTCCAGTTATGGTCTCATCGACTAGCAAAGAGGAGGAGAAGAAGGAAGCTGAAGGTTTGGAAGCGAAGAAGAAAGCTGAAGGTTTGGAAGCAGTGGAGAAGGTCGAGGTGAAGCCAGAACCACAGCCTCAAGTCGGCGTGGTCAAGCTTGAAAAGAAGCCTAAGGATCGCTCATTAGGTACCGGTCTTCTGACATGGATGGATGAAAATCCGAATATTGTGAGTTTTCGATTTCATTTCCTCAACCGAATTGAATTTATCACAGGAGTGAGTAACATTGGTTGTAATTCGCAATTTTCTGGAATCCTATAATTCTGGTTTGTTATCCACAGGTGGCTTTTGAGAATTATGTCTTGATGGAGGATTGGACGATGAACCCTGCCATTTCGCATAGAATTTCTGTCATATGATCGTGTTTTAAGTGGAACAGCCTTGCGTGAACAAAAACATGCTTTTTCTGACTTTAATTTTACGCGTATGGCAGGCGCCACCCTCCATCTACTTGATCCATTTCGTCCAATCCGCCATTGGTTAAATCAGTGAACTGATCAGCCGCGAAGTGAACCTTGTTGATTAAGTAGACATCGCTTCGCTATAGATCAGTTGATTCGACCGATAGCGAAGTGGATTGAATGTAGCGCGTGCATCACACGATTACTGCTACTCCAGCTCTGCATCTCTGACCTGCGGCACGCATGGACAGCATATTGCAACATGCAACGAATTTTGACAAGTCTAATTGACAACATTCTGCTGCTAATATGTTTGTCGCGGACTGGGCCTCCAACTCGTCACGCCAGTTGTGATAAACTCTCCTGCATCCACGGTAGAAGCCGGGGGTAATCCAACGTATATACAAGTTGTGGCGATATCTGTGAGCTAGAGGGGCCTGCCACACTACGACGCCATACACACTTAGAAGCCCTTCCAGCAGCCTACCTACCAGTTGATACAGCATATACAGCTTGATTCTCTCCCCCTGCCATCGACACTTGGGGCTTGCTTCTATAATCCAGACACTACCTAAGATTGTGTCTGCTTTCATACTGATCGATCATTCCAGGCATGATTATATGCTGGATGTTCACCATTTATCTACACATAATCCTTTACACTCAAACACACGGGATGAGTACAGCCGACCAAAGATGTTACAATCCTAGGGGCCAGCAATTCAGAAAACCTCCGAGGCGGCATTCATTGACATGTGCCAGGCTCGAGAGAATCCATGGCGCTGTTGATGTTGAAGTACGGGTGAGATGGGGAAGGTGCTGCTCGATCGGTTGGACTGGAGATGGAAGTTGAACCCGACCGCTCATAAGTTGACAGTTGCGATGACTGCGTGACAGGTTTGAAAGCTGCGGCATATACAGGGTGTCCCAAAAAATGTGAACACTGTTTGATCCATAATAACTCCGTTGCTTTCATGTCTTTCGCCGAGCTTGAGGCACCATTCTTTAGAGCGAAGTTCAACTTGAATTTGTAGCATGGAACGAATCACTGATCGCGTTCCGTTAATGTAGGACTACGGTATGAACTTCTAACATGCGGATCCATTGTGATTTATGCCATTTGATGAAATTTTTTCAAAAATTTTGAAAAATCGTGTACTAGGGTTTTCGCTCACGCTGATTGCACTACACAACTTTTTAAGTGTTTTTAGCTTTTTTGACGGTGTAGTCACACTTCTGACAAATGCTGGAAATTCCATTACTACGGTTTACCTGGGCTAAACTTGGAAAGAAGCATCACAGTAAAGTGGAAATTTCATATGCAAAATTAGCGGCTTCTTTTACCACAGTTTAAGACAGTTTTTGTCTTGTTTGGTTTTGTTCCGAGGCGTAAAATGGCCTCCAATGGCTTAAAACCCTGGTCGAAGTTCCTACCATAATCCTACATTAATGAAGAGCGATCAGCGATTCGCGCCATACTGTAGATCTAAGTTGAACATCGCTCTATAGAATGGTGCCCAAAGTTCGGCGAAAGACATGAAGCAAGGGAGTTATTAACGATCAAACAGTGTTCACATTTTTTTGGGACACCCTGTATAGCGTGTGAAAGGACGGGGCAGTGCGAGGACGACGTTTCAGGACCCCTTTGCAGCGCGTCGGCGAACTCCTTTGAAAGACGTCGCGCATCCGCGACAATGTTGTTGCATGTTGCAACACGTTAGCCACTTGTGTCGAGGTCAGAGTGACAGAGCAGGAGTAGCAGCAGTCATGAAGTAGACGATAAGTATAGGTACTGCAAGACGAAGGCGCAGAAGCGGTATTAGATGAGCGAGCACGAACTTTGCGTGCGCTTACCTGCACCGTTGTAAACCTGCGCTTCATGCGCTCTACGGCTAACAAAGCCGCGTTCGCGCCCAAAGGTACTACGCCTTCGTCATGCGGTAGCCTATATTTTGTGTGTAATTGCACATATTGAGAAGTATCTTGACCGTGATACTTTGAAGGAAATGTTTCACCACGAAAAGCATGTCCAGAAAAGATTTGTCGAGCACTCTCAGTCTGCGATTATTACTGTTTTAGGTTCGTTGCTGTGCTACGACGGCCGCAGTGGTAGGCCTTGCCGGAATTGCGAGTTTTGTTTACGCAAGGAGGATCCGTTCCGGTGGCTTCTAAGTGATTGATGCCATGTCTCGACCGAGTTATACATAGGATTACTGTAGACAAGCTGTGCATGCACGTGTTTCTAACGTACGAGCGGCAAATTTGCGCTCGTTCTGCTTTTACGCGCTTCTGTTCGGTTTAGGAAGAGAAAGAGGCGTCTTTGCACTTCTAGACATCATAATTCCCCCACACCATCTAATGTGACACCCATTTGTTCGGGTTTTTTCGTCGAATGCCTTGTACTGTATGTTTTTTCTTCTGCACATAAACGTTATTTGCTCCGTCAAGGTCTTCATGGAGCCATAGGTGTTTGGATCACAAGTGCATAGGTTGAGGTTTTTTTCTAGTTTTTTGGCATATTTTTTACTACAGATTATTTATTTTCACAGGAGTCAGTCTGTTTTGTGCATCTGATAGTATGAATAAATTATCTAGAAATTATAAATTGCTTGTTTGCAAGGTCGTTTCTCCTTTGTATAGGTCACTTCTCTGATTATCGCGGTAATTTTGGCGCGTCCACAAATGGATTGATCGACGCCGAAGATCTCCCTTTTTTTTCCATCAGGAATATGATTCTTCTCTATGTCTCGCGTACAGTCGCTTCATTTCATATGATCATGTGTGTCATTGCACACACAGTTCACCTTTGGCGTCCCCATCCTGGATTCGTGGGAGAAACAAGCCTTCAGATAAGTGTTTCCAAGGTGTTCTTAGCATTTTCTTTCCTTTTTAGTTAACAATCGGTAAGTCTCTTGCGTTTTTGCGATTGCAAATCCAGGATGAGGACGCCAAAGTGGACTGTGTGTGCAATGGCACACATGATCAAATGAAATGAAGCGACTGTAGTTGATGATCCACACGAGTACGTAATTATATCTACATTCATGTTTCGTATGTCCGAAGTGTAGACTGTGCTCTTCTTCTGCTTGAAAAGCTCGGCTAATTTAGCTTTCGAGACCTTATACTCGAGATTGTGAAGTATTTTACAAGTGGGTTTTGTCCGGAGTTGCTCGTACCAGCGCCGTTCCAGCTTTATACCGGAACTTCGTTCGATCAATGCATTGTGCGTGCGCATGGGTTCCGACACGCCGCTGGCACAGCACCGGCACACTAGTAAGTCTAGACGCTACCCCTAGAATCTTCCAACTTACTCGCACCAGAATCTAGTAGAGAAATGTTCCATGTTGGAATAATTTAGAGAGGTAGTCTGCGCATTTTTTACATATCTGGAGACGTATCAGTAATTGTTCTCAGATTGTGAGCTGCCCAAAAAATTCTCGAATGCTGGCTTATTTTCACGCTAGTAATACCCGTTTACTTTGAACGTTCGCCATGGATCCCAAAATGGAAAAAAAATGGATGCTTACTGCTTCTTCTCTTTATTTTTTCTCGTTACGTTGAAGGTATCACGCAAAAGTTTTTTTTTGCTTAGTCTCCATGATGCAATAACTCCGAGAAGGTCACAGTTCCACCAATCTATTTACAAAAGAAGCAGAATGCACTCAAAAGGAGCAGTTTTGGTTACTCAGTCCGTGATGCTATTGTCTTGTAACGTCTATTCTTCCAGCTCGTTTAAGAAGTTGCTGGAGTTCTGATTCTCATAAAAGTTCTGTTTGAATCATATCAAACCTTTTTTTTGTATAAACTAACATTGCTTTCATTGCAACTATAAAACCGCATACTACCACTTGGAAGTGAGTGATGACTACTTTGCACTTGCAGTAATGATTTTTTTATTTATTCATCTACTTGATTCACCATCGAGATGTGCTAGAACAGCATTCAGTCACATATAAACAAAATTCATCATCAGTTTTGTTGAGCTCCTCATTTTCAACGACATAGTCTTTCAAAAATCGTGGAGAAAGATCCGTTTTTATCTCACATTAGCAGTGGCGGAGAGACCAAAGTGAATGATTTTTACTCATTATATAGTAGTGTCACTGAGACGTAATATGCCAGACAGTTGAAACTGCTAAAAATTGAAATAATTTGTATAAGAGAAATATGGAGATACAGAGATGGTTTGCCTACAACTCCGCATGTCTAACTCTTTTGCATGAGAATTATACTGATGAGGCTGAGATCGTACTGGATAGGTAACAGCTGAGTTTGGGAAGCTGACGTTATGTTGATAATCTTAATCCGTGTGTTATGCACGAATCCTCCGTGTTTGAGCAGTACGCATAACAGACATGTGGAAAGCTCCAGATGGTGTAATTTGCAATGGATTAAGTGTACTCTTGGAAATGCTAATAGACAGAAGATTCAGCAATCCTTTCGAGGAATAATATTGATAGGTACAGGAGTAGTCGTTTGGGTACTCCTTTTGTGCCTGTCTAATCGGTTATTGCTCATCCATATGAGCCTCCTATGGCTGTCTATGCATTTTTTTGCTATTCGTTGCTAAGCACTGTCGCGCTAAATTTGGGTTAGCTGGTGTTCTTCAGGTTCAGAATAAGAATATCATGATTGGGTAGGTGACAAAAGTTGAAGCAAAATTTGAAGAAATTTTTGAGAGTCAAGACCTTCGTTTTGATAAGCCAAGAAGAGTCTCTTTGAGCCACGCTTTCAAAAAAAGGGAGCACGGTTTGCCGTGAAGTAACGTCTGCAGAACGTTCTGATGTGATCTCGTCACTTAATGGGATAGCTACATCCGAATTTTTTAGAGGAGGCGGTAGACGCTATCTTCAGCAAGGAGTTTTCAGTGTGCTCACAAATTCCATGAGGTAATAAAATCACCGCATGAGTTTACTTGGACTTTGTTTATGGCGTTTGCTCAGTAAGTCATCTCCATAAAATCTATAGGCTTATAGCATCTGCAAGATGAACGAGACAGCATCGTTCAGAGCTCCTTATACTCGCGCTATTTTCGTCTTGTAAACATTGATCATGTAAACATTTGGCCAATAAAAATTGTCAATATCCCAAAATCACGCCTAGAACATTTTCGTTTGCATATTTATCCCCCCCCCTCTCTTGTGGAAAGCTGTTATTATTACCTAACCTATCTTATACAAGTGATCGACATTGACCGTTCCCAACCCCCTACTTATCGAATTCTGCGACATGTCATCAAATGTCTTTTTCATAGGTAAATTAGGGCGTCTTAACCTCAATTCACACCTTTCTTCACTGAGTAATGTCAAAATCGTTCAGGCCAAGTGCCTTGAAAGGGGTGGAGTCAATCTTAAAACCGGGTCACTAGCCCGAAATGCGCAGGATGGGAGGGGGAGGACTTTTGGAATTGCGAGTTTTGAGTGCTTTATATCATTTATATTGTTTTGATAGAGTCGCTAAGTGTTCTAGATTTTCAATCTATGAGGGGTTGTGCCGGAACATCGGCGGAAAATTTTCTAGCATCAAAAAGTTGTGGGCGGGAGCTATGCTCGGTGGGCGTGTTGGCCAATTAACCAGTCGTGTTTGCGTCTCCAACCAATCAAAGGATTGGACGATTTGCCGAGTTCTTCCCCCCCCCCCCTCCACGCAGCCACAAGTTCGCTTTTTGACGTAAAGCATAAAGTCAGATAGTCTTTTTTTATATTATGGTCAAAACTCCGAATACGCAGTGACTCAGTGATCCTGTCATTAGTTCCAAGCCTTCCTTTTCGCTTTTACAACATACTTTCTCTTCTATAGAAAGTTTTGCAGTTTTTCAATCCAGTAGTTGGTATCACACTAACTACCTAGTTTTCATAATTATCTGTGACTCATACAAAAGGTTCACGCCTCCGATAAGTCCGAAGAAACCAAATAAATGGTAGTATGAGTCACTTCCTCATTCCCAACTGTTACTTGAGTGTTCACATAAAAAAGTGGTTCCATACAAGTGATGGAGAAAAGGTGAGATGTTAGAGATTGCACTTTGAGCGAAACTGATAGATTCGGCGAAAATTGCTAATTGCAAATTTGTTTTGTTTTCGTGATTAATCCTGGTCTGTATATTACTTGTAACTGAACTCAAGAGAAAAAAAAACTTTGCTTATGAATTTCTCTCGTGAGTCTAGGTTTAGCCAAGTTAAAGACAAGTAACAAAATATAGACTTATAGGTCTCTTCTCAAGAAATCATTAGTATTCTTAAAAAAGCTCAGGGCAACTGTATTTCTCGATTTTTTGATATTTCTTTCGAAATAAAATGTTTTTGTTACAAAAAATAGTGATGCAGAGAAGTTTTTCATTGGGAATAATGTTGGCTACGATAGATGAAATTGATCTGACAGTGGTGTTAAGAGTTCTGCGTATGGGTGGCCTTGGCTTAAGCTTTTTTGTGTCGGAACCTATCGAAGAGCGTACTTTCACCATTCGATCAAACCCGGCAATAGGTTTTCTTATTCTGTATTTGCTTTGCTCTCTGCTGTAGATTTTTATACATCCTACAGCCCTAGGTGATTTAATTTGTGTAACTCATTCCTCTGTAGGCAGGTCTTCAGTTATCTACACTGTGTATTAAGTGCTTTCAGTGTTTTCCTTTACGACTATTACATTTCCAGACTTTATCTGGCACGATCTTGCTTTTTGAAAGCTTTGGAATTCTCGGCTAGTAGTTGGTCACGCAAGGCAAACAGCCAAGACAACCCTTTTCAAACCACCGTTAAGCGACGATTAAATTCACCAGAAGATAGTGAGTATCGAATGAGTTGGAGATAGAGATTTCTGGAATTTTTTTCTGGAAAGCAGCGTCCAGTCCATGCTTTCCCGATTAGTACCTAGTCAACAAGAAGGCCCCAGGAGTAGAACATCGTGCGTTGATCCGGTCCTCTAATATGGCCTCTGAATGGAAAGAAATGGACTTGGAACCCGCGCAAGTGCCATGAAGCCACGCCCGCCCTATCAAGCTCCGCCCATCTAGGTACTGAAAATCGTCCGTACCTTCAGTATAGGACACCTCTGCCTTTGACGTGGTAGCACGGAAGTCGAAGGCGCCCAAGGGAGTAGAGGACGTTCGGTTGCCGAAAGAGGCGGTCCCATCGGACATCTGCAACAAGCCGGGCGCCTTCACCATTACTGCCTCATGTTATCTGTCTGCGTGGGTGGAGCTATTGGCGACCTCATGGCCTCTACCACATGCTTGCAGTTCCCACAAATATTTTCCTTTTGTTTTCTTCTCTTTTCACATGACTAGGTTCTCTGTGAAGGTATTATTCATTTCCGAACATATTATGCAGAAACAGAGGCTTTCTCTGCGCAGGGTGTA